TATACCGCCCTATCTCCCTTGCGGGACTCAGGGCGGTGAACAGGCAATACTAAAAACCATGAATAAATAAATAGTTTCTGTTTTAAAATCGAATTGAATAATAGGCCTGTTCTAAAAACACACCCATACAAAACCCCCCCACTGAAACACAATCCAAACTACGCCAGGCCGGCCGCACGGAATAGATGGGCCTTCAGGGTTACCCAGCACCATCTAGTCTCCCCAACCTGGTTCTTTTAACGGGGATAAATCCCTCCTTCTCGTTTTCACCCTTTTGAGTTTGCAGGTTCCCACTTTCCTTGAGCGTTTTCCAGTTTTGTTTTATTTTGCCTCTCAAGATACGCCCACGGCGGTGCCATCGCCACTATCCTGGACACCACACTAGGGGCCAGCGCCTTCCACGTCAGCCAATGGGTGATGACCGCTAACCTCAACTTAAACTACAAGAGGTCAGTGCCTTAAGGAAAAGAGAGAAAAAAATACTGAGGATTGAATTGAATGGATTCGTTAAAAGTTTGGAACAAAGAAACAGGCCGGCGTCTTGTAACAATTCGCACGTTTCCCCCCTCGTTCAGCCCCGTGGCCTTGGGCTCCGTGGTCAGGGTGGACAGCAGGGTGGACAAAGTTGAGGGCAAGAAGATCTTCGTGAGCGGCGAAATGCGGAGTGTGGATAAGCAGACCCTCTATGCACAGGCCACTGGTAAGTATAGATAATGCAGAGTCACTTCAATCTGCCTTCTCCAACCTAGATTTCCCCCCCCCTCCCCAGACTACAGTTCCCAGAATTCCAAGCAGCATGGCCGAAAGCCCTCCAGGTTTTAAGAAATGTAGCTTAGAGGTAGCTACCCCGATTGCCTGATTCAATTTTCGGTAATACCCTATTTTCCTAGCCTGGGCATTTTATTTTATTTTTCCCCTTTCTCCTCTATTTTTATTTTTTTTTAGCTCTCTTCATTGAACTGCAGCCCGACTCTTTTCTCCGGAAAGAAAGGGACCCCAACAGCTCCCTTTAACAGGCCGCCTGGCTGCCCGAAGACCCAGCTCTTCGGCCACCTGCCTCTTCCTCAGTTCTGTCGCAAGCCATTCTCAAGAGTTTCATCGGTGTCTCTCCAGCCCTCTTTGCACAACAGGCTGGAACAACAGCGTGCCCCAAAAAATGCAACCTACACCGGTTTGGCATGTCGTCATTTGTCGAGTGAGGCGGGAGGCCGTGAATCCAAAACAACTATATTTCTTGCCCAAGTGTCGCGCTTCGTGCCATAATTCTAAAACCTGATGGGTGTTTTCTGGCTGTTTTCGAACTCGGTCCCCCCTTTCTTGGCTTTTCGGGGGTATATTTATATTTCAACTGTGGTTGGGTCAAAATGTGGGGTCCTTGGGCTGGGGGGGGTCCTCTGAACTGGGTGGGTTTCCTTGCGGACGTTTCGTGACCCGACTAGGTAACGTCAGCAAACCCCATTTCCTTCCTAGCACTGATGGTGTCACCTAGTTGGGTCACGAAACGTCTGCAAGAAAGCCAGCCAGCTCAGAGGACCCCATGAGACTGGGTCGGGAAAATGTGACCCCCTTGGGGATGCTAAGAAACAAATATGGTGTTGTTCTGTTTATTTGAAGCACTTTAGTTAGCTATAGAACAGGGAATTCTGGAGGCAGGAAAGACATAAAGAGTGCCTGTTAAATTCCTACCTCAGCCCAGCTTTCTCGGTGCCTTGTGGAAGAGTTATTGACACTTGTTAAACGTTACCCTACTTTTACATTAGCCTTTTCACACGTTGGTTTGAGTAAGAGCGAGGAGATTGCAAATGAGAACGATAAATCCAACTACTCTTTACGTGTTTGTTCCTGCTTTATCTTTCGGAACCAATTTGCATAGCTTCCTCTTGTTCTTCCTGATTTTTCTGATGCCAGCTGGGAGCTAAGGAGAAAAATGGCCACAGGTCAGGGATGCAAAAAAGCAGACCATCTCCATATCCCAAATAGAATAGAATATAGAATAGAATAGAATAGAATAGAGAATAGAATAGAATAGAATAGAATAGAATAGAATAGAATCGTTATTGTCACTTTAAATGTACACTAAGCATATATTAAAAATGAAATTTTGTTGCATACGGTCATTCAATAATTTTAAGGGTCCCCTGGGTGGAGAAATACTGTACACACAGTACATCATCTCTGCTTGCACCACTAGCCATCACTCTTGTAACTACTGACATTTTAAATGCCAGTTGAGCAACAGCATGACACTTGTTTCATCAGCTTGGTGAAAATATGCCCATGGATCTCGGATTAAGGCCAGATGATTGTATCCAAGTTTATTGTGGAAGGTCTTGGCTCACATCATTGGGGGGGGGATCATGAGCAAACTTCTCAGGTCCTTCTGGTTTGAGGGTGTGTCTTCACTGGAAGGGAGAAACTGTAGGCAGTTGGTCCTGGGTGAAGTTCCTCCACTGCTGATTGAAGGAAGCAGTCTGTCAAAGCTGCTGGGAGCTGAGCTGTGCCCAAAGAAGAGTTCCTGAGAAGAAGAAGACACCCTTCTCAAGGGATCAACGGGTCCAAATATTCAGAATGCAGAGTCTTCTGAGGAGCATCAACCAGACGGTCAAAGGGATGGCCACCAGGGTTCCTGCTCTGGCAAGGAGGAAAGAACTCTTAGTACAGCCTCCTCGCCTGCTGCTCAGAAGGACATCCACAGTGAGTATTGGGGAGGGTTTAAAAGGGAGGGGAGGACACCCTCCCCAAATAAATCTCTTTGTTCCTGGTCTTGGAGGACCACCTGAAAGGTTCTGAGATCCTAAGGAAATGCTGAAGGATGCAGAGAAGGTGATGGGGTGGGCAGAGATGATTGAAGGCCTGCCAATAACCCACCCTGGTGCCCCTGAAGGGTCTTGTGGGCAAGAGTGGGGACCCTCAACGCGAGTGTCCTTTCCCAGCAACAGCCCCACCAGTGTCTCAAGGACTTCGGTGTCCCCAACTCAAGTTGGAGCCCAGAGATGATGGACCAGTTTCAGAAGTTCACAAAGCTGTCCGAGGACGGGTCATGGCAGCGCATTCCGAGTTACAACAACTGCGTGGACAGCATGCCAGGTCAGTCTTTCCATCCCACTCGAAACATTTCTCGGGTGGCCAACGCCGTTCCTTCCAGGCGGGCCTTCCTTCTACAGCTGTCAGTTCGTCAGAAGACGGCATCTCCTCAAATCTTGTCATCCCAAGTTAGTTCGCCCTGATCCTTCCCTCTGCAGGGTTGCTCAACCTCGTGAAGGTGGGTGGACTTCAGCTCCCCACATTTTCCCCCCCCCCAGGTTGAGGTCCGCCCGTCGTCAAGTTGTCAAGCTTGAGCAACACCACCTTAGGTGCCCATCAGGTTGTGTAGGAGGAAGGTTCTGGCTGTCAACCACATCTAAACTGGAGTGAGACCCATTTCCTAGCCTTTGACCGTCTGGGGTTGTGTTCCTCAACTTGGCAACTTGAAGATGGGTGTCCCAAAGGTGCTTTTTCAGGAGGCAACTGCACTTCCCGTTTGCTGTCGCTTTTTGGAAGACCTTTCCCTTCTTCAGTTCTGAAGGGATGGCGGGGGAGTGGAAGGATTTATACTCCTTGCAGACAGAGCTGGTCCTTGGCATCCTGCAAGGCACGTCAGATCAGAAGCGACACGTCTTCACAGAAAAAAAAAACAACAAGTCCAGTTGGCCTCCTGAAAAAAGCACCTGTGGGGATAACCAGGGCCTGGAGGACGGAGAATCGCCGTAGACGTTGGAGAGGGGTGGACTTCAACTCCCGGGAACTATGGCAGGAAAAGTCCTAAATTGGGGCAAACACTGAACAGTGGTGCTTGGAAGTCGAAGGATTACCTGGATCGAGTTTCGTTTGGGGTCCAACCCGGACTGACGTTGCTTTTTTTGTTTTTTGGGGGGTTTTTTTGTAGAAGGGCGCCAGAAGCGAGAGTCGCAAAACGGAGACCGTCGCTTCTTCGTCCACAGCATCGACGGGGAAGGCTTGGGCTTCGAGTACAGCGTGTTTATGAACCCTTCGGAGCAGCGAGCGGTGGCCCTCTTCCAGCCAGGGCCCTATCTTGAAGGACCTTTAGGGTAAGCCTTAAAAAAAAAATAACCCAGTTTGTATAGGGCAGGGGTAGGCAACCATGGCTCTTTTATGACTTGTGGACTTCAGTTCCCAGAATTCTCCAGCCAGCTGTGCAATTAACAAGGTCGCCGATCCCTGGTCTATAGCTGTGCAGGCTGGGGAATTCTGGGAGTTGAAGTCCACAAGTCTTCAAGTTAACAAGGTTGGACACCCCTGATCTACACCCTTCCTGAAAGCTGCAAGGTTCAGTTGCTACCTGGCCACAATCTGATCACAGCCCTTTCTTAAGTTCATTTATTTAATCCTATGGCACATTCCCACCATATTCCAGTAAAAAGGAACACGGGAGTCAAAACACAAAGCCCAGAATATAAAATCTGAAATCTTAACAGGACGGTTGCAAACATGGATCTAAGTTACAAATATAAACATTTTAGTTCATTTCTTGCAACCGGGAAAGCCTCTGTTTTGACACTCTGCTACTCGGTGCCGTTAAATGATATTAAATGATTTGTTTTATTCTTTTCAATGCCGTAAGCCATCCAGCATTACCCGGGGCTGAGACGGGGGGCAAATAAATGTAATAGATCGATAATAATAAATAAATATGGATTCCTTTGGAGCATCCCCTGGCACTTAATCTGTGAAAACAATTGTTGTTTTTTACATTTTCATCCTTTTGAGTCTACAACTTCCCATTTTGCTCGAGCATTTTGTTCTTCAGTTTTATTTTATTTTGCTTCTCAAGATTTGCCAACGGCGGGGCGATCGTCACTATCCTGTACCAGGCAGTGAGGGCTAGCATCAACCTCAACGCGAGGATCGCTAACCTCAACATAGACTATAAGAGGTCAGTGCCTTAAAAAAAGAGGATTGGATTGAAAGAAGAAGAATTGAGGTGGACAATCTCGCTCTTCACGGCACCAGCTACGACTGTGATGTTGTGTTGTTGTTGTTTTCTGTTTTGTTTTGTTTTCTTTTGTTCCAAAGTGAATCTCTCAGCCTCCTAACAAGATTGGAGGGGGGGGGGAGGCTGACCACCAAAGATACATTGTTGAGTGTTTGTATTTTTATAGTATTTTATTTGTAATGTCTCTAGATTCTGTATAGATTTCTCTTTTTAATCATTGTAAGCTGCCCCAGTTACACTGTGATAAGATGGGCGTCCAGGATGGATGGATGGATTAGAGAGAGGGATAGATAGATAGATAGATAGATAGATAGATAGATATTAGCAAGATACAGATTAGAGATTAGACTACCTGTACACTTTTCTTGATTAATTCAAACTCAATTCTGAATATATTTGGGGGCTACCGTCCTATTAGGTCTTGCTGGATTTGATAGAAGAGAATAGAATAGAATAGAATTAGAAAATAGAATAGAATAAAGTAGAATAGAATAGAATTAGAAAATAGAATAGAATTAGAAAATAGAATAGAATAAAGTAGAATAGAATAGAATTAGAAAATAGAATAGAATAGAATATGGAATAGAATAACTTTATTGTCACTTTAACTGTACACTAATTGGCCTACATTAAAATGAAATTTCATTGCATGCCGCTCTCCAATACACACTACTACATAAACATGACAAAAGATTACGCATATAACCACATACACACACACACACATGTAACACAGAGAAACAACACGGTCTACTTTCGATGTATACAGCTAACATGGGGCGAAATTTTCACCTTCCACTTTAAGCGGGCGCCTGAGTGGCAGGCCAGGCCAGACCCCCACAAGACTCTTTCTTGCCCTCGCTCAGGCCCGTGGCGCTGGGCTCCGTGGCCTTGGTGGAGGCGCGGGTGGACAGGATCGAAGGCGGGAAGGTCTTCCTGAACTTCGAAGTCCGGAGCGTGGATGGGCAGACCCTTTATTCCCAGGGCGTTGGTAAGTAGAGGTAGTGTAGCTGGTCCCCCTTGGCTTACGACCACGATGGAGCACACCATTTCTGTGGCTAAGGGGGTTTTGTCCCACTTTACGACCTTCCCTGCCTCGGCGGTTGTTAAGGGAGGGACACGGGATGTCAATCCGGCCTCCCCCTGTGGTCAGAAGGCTGCCAGAGGGGATCACGTGACCCCGGGGAGCACTGCGACCGTCATAAATACGAACCCCTTGCCAAGCGTCCACATTTTGATCAGGCAACCACTGGGGGACACTGCCACGGTCGTCACTGCGGAAAACGGGCGTAAGTCACCTTTTCCCGCTGCCGTTGTAACTTTGAACGGTCACTAAATGAAGCATTGTAAGACCAGGACTACCTGCACAGGGTCACTCCAACCTGGCTTTCCTCCCCCCAGACTACAACTCCCAGAATTCCAAGCAGCATGGCCAAAAGCCCTCCGGGTGTTGAGAAATATAGCGTAGGGGTGGCTATCCTAATTGCCTGCTTCAATTTTCGGGAATATCCTATTTTCCCTGCCTCCAACTGTCTAAATGGCACTCTTTCTTTCTCTTTCTTTCTTTCTCTCTCTCTCTTTTTCTTTCTTTCTTTCCTTTTTTTTTAAAGTTTTCTGCGTCGAAGGGCAGCCCCCCTCTTCGCCCCAGAAAGAAACAGATCCCAGCAGCTCCTCTTAACGGGCCACCTGGCTGCCCGAAGACCCGGCTCTGCGTCCACCTTCCTCTTCCTCATCTCCCCTACGACAAGCCGCTCTCAGAGTTTTCAGCGGTGTCTCTCCAGCCCTCTTTGCACAACTGGGTGGAACAACAGCGTGTCAAAAAAACGCAACCCACAGCGGTTTGGTGTGTCGTCATTTGTCAAGTGAGACAAGGGGGGCGGGGGTGAATCCGAAAAACTATATTTCTTGTCGGATTGTCGCCTTACAAGTCTGACCTTCGTGCCACAGTTCTAAAACCCGGTGGATCTTTTCTGACTGCTTTCGAACCCGCTCCCCCTTTCTTGGCCCTTCGAGGGTATTTTATATATATATATATATATTTAGTCTTCCCAATGTGGCAATGGATGAGGATCGGACGGCGCGGTCCTTGGGGGGGGGTTGGTTCTCTGAACTGGGTGGGTTTCCTTTTCAGACGTTGCGTGACCCAGCTAGGTAACGTCATCAGTGCTAGAAGGGAGGGGGGGATTTGTGGAGCGTTTTATAAAACTTTGCCAAGTCATCTGGGCTGATTTGGGCAGAATCCACCTGTTAGGATCTCCTGGGTTTGGTGGGGGAGGATCTGATGGCATCTGGGCACCTTTGGATCTAGCTCAGCTCTCTTTTTATTTTAATTGTATTGGATTTATAGGGCTGTCCAACTCACGAGCGACTCCAGACTCTTATCTGGATTGTCTTCTTAACCTTGGGGTTGGTTTCAAGAAGGGGGACACCAGGGGCTGTCATGTCCAGTGGGGCAGCATACCTGGTCACTCACCTGAGAAGGGAGGGGTTGCCCAGGTGCTGAAAATCAGCATCTTGCAATCACCTGGGCACCTTCAGTGGGTTTGCTTGCAGTCTGTGGGGTGCAGAAGCTGATGCCTTTTGGGGTGCCTGTTAAATGCCTACCTCTTTGCCCTCGTGGAAGAATTGTTGACACTTGTGCTGCGTTTGCCCTACTTTTACACGAGTGTTTCGCGTGTTGCCTTGAGGAGCAGCGCGGCGATTGCAAATGAGATGGATGGTAGATAAATGGATTTCAACTTTGCATGCCTGCTCTTGTTTGGTCTTTGCGTAAATGCCTCTTGTTTTGTCTGTGGAGATTCTCGGTCATCCAGGTCAGGGCTATCCCAAAGGTGCTTTTTTCCCATGAGGCGACTGGACTTCCTTCTTCCGCTGTGACCGGATGGTGGGGAGTGGAAGGATTTATACTCCTTGCAGACCGCTGGTCATTTGCCTCCTTTTAGAGAGTCGTTGAGGCCACCTGGAGGCTTACCTGGGTGAGGTAGTGGGTCGATCTCCAGTCTACCCCACAGTCCTTTCAGCAGTTCCAAGAAGGCTCCACAGCCATTTGCACCACTCAGGTGACCCTGAGGACACAGATGAACCTCCAGGTGGCCTCAACGACTCTAAAAGGAGGCAAATGACCAGCGGTCTGCAAGGAGTATAAATCCTTCCTTTCCCACCATCCAGTCAGAGCTGAAGAAGCTTCCGGGATGAGAAGCAAAACGTCCTTTGAAGAAAAACAAGGCAGTCGCCTCGTGGAAAAAGCACCTTTGGGTCCTCTTGTTCTTCCTGATTTTCCTGATGCCAGCTGGGAGCTAAGGAGAAAAACGCCCGCAGGTCAGGGATGGGGAAAAGGAGACCATCTCCCTATCTCTCGTGGCATGCACTCATTCATTAGTTTTAATTAAGGGTGGAGAAATTACTGCAAATCCAGGTCCCAGCGAGAGTTGGATTTGGAAGAACTTCCCAGAACACGGCTACGGCCAGGTAAACCTCATAGATGTATCCAAGATACAACTGGGAGTTACGTTCAACCTTGTCTAGAGACTCTACTCAACCTGCTGGTCTCTGGACCTTGGATGGTTCTGGTGGGCACCTGGATGAAGGCTGGTTGGTTTGAGGTTGCTTGAATGTTTCTGCTTTACCTTGGGGTGCTCAGTCCTTCGGTTGGGACGTGACCTTTCCCTGCAGCTGAAAAGAGGACATAGTCCTCTCCCATCGAAGAATGGAAGATAATTGTGGTTGCGAGGTTGGGAAGATCGGTTTTCCTCCTTCACGGTAGCTATAATGGGGACCTTTCCCACCCTGGTGCCCTCCATCATGGTCCACAGGTTTGGGAGATGGCAGCCAGCCTCCACCATCAAAGTCTCTGCTCCCTGGCTGTGCTCAAATCAAATTGGTTTATTCCTTGGGGAGATGTTGATGTTTACTAATGGGATGGCCCAACACAGGCACATCTGAGCTGGATGGAATTATACACCATCTCTGTTTCCACCTATGGGGATGTCTCTTGTAACTACGGACAACTTAAATACCTGTTGAGCAACGGCTGCTTATTTGATGTGCTCAGTGAAAATATGCCCACGGATCTGGGATTAAGACCAAGTGACTGGACCCATGGAAGGTCTTGGTATGAAATGAGCTCATTTCTCAGGTCCTTCTGGTTTAAGGGTGTGTCTTCACTGGAAGGGAGAAACTATATATAGGCTTGCTCCAATTGGTCCTGGGTGAGGTTCCTCCACTGCTGATTGAAGGAAGCAGTCTGTCAAAGCTGTTGGGAGCTGAGCTGTGCCCAAAGAAGAGTTCCTGAGAAGAAGACGCCCTTCTCAAGGGATCAGCGGGTCCAAATATTCAGAATGCAGAGTCTTCTGAGGAGCATCAACCAGACGGTCAAAGGGATGGCCACCAGGGTTCCTGCTCTGGCAAGGAGGAAAGAACTCTTAGTACAGCCTCCTCGCCTGCTGCTCAGAAGGACATCCACAGTGAGTATTGGGGAGGGTTTAAAAGGGAGGGGAGGACACCCTCCCCAAATAAATCTCTTTGTTCCTGGTCTTGGAGGACCACCTGAAAGGTTCTGAGATCCTAAGGAGATGCTGAAGGATGCAGAGAAGGTGATGGGGTGGGCAGAGATGATTGAAGGCCTGCCAATAACCCACCCCGGTGCCCCTGAAGGGTCTTGTGGGCAAGAGTGGGGACCCTCAACGCGAGTGTCCTTTCCCAGCAACAGCCCCACCAGTGTCTCAAGGACTTCGGTGTCCCCAACTCAAGTTGGAGCCCAGAGATGATGGACCAGTTTCAGAAGTTCACAAAGCTGTCCGAGGACGGGTCGTGGCAGCGCATTCCGAGTTACAACAACTGTGTGGACAGCATGCCAGGTCAGTCTTTCCATCCCACTCGAAACATTTCTCAAGTGGCCAACGCCGTTCCTTCCAGGCGGGCCTTCCTTCTACAGCTGTCAGTTCGTCCGAAGACGGCATCTCCTCAAATCTTGTCATCCCAAGTTAGTTCGCCCTGATCCTTCCCTCTGCAGGGTTGGTCAACCTCGTGAAGGTGGGTGGACTTCAGCTCCCCAGGTTTATCCACCACCCCCAGTTGGACTTCTGGGCGTTGAAGTCCACCCATCTTCAAGTTGGCAAACTTGAGGAACAGCAGCTTAGATGACTTATTGGGTTGTGTAGGAGGAAAGCTCTGGGTGTCAACTCTATCAAGGCCATTTTGAAGGAAGATCAAGAGTTTGTGTTCCTCAACTTGGCAACTGGAGAATGGGTAGACTTCAACTCCCAGAATCCTTAGCCCAAGATACGGGTGTATAAGACCCCATTTGGGTCCATATAAAGTGGGTGCAATTGAGAGCAACTAGACCCACCCTCTGAAGGGCAAGGAAACCCCAGAATCCACCTTTCGGTTTTCATTGGGGGACAATTTTGCACCAACTGTCAAACCCTTCTTTCTGTTGCACCCCCGTTTTCTCCCGTAGCCTGGTTTAAAATTTAACTTCCAGTTGCCCCTCTGCCACCCCCCCAACCAATTCTACTTACCCCCTCCCCAAAATGTTCTAGATTTGGGATTTCCCCCCCCCCAGGGGAAATGATTATTTTAACCCCAAACCAAAAAATCTAATAAATAGGGAATTTCCGACTTCTCTTTTCTTTTTAATTTTTTTTTCCTTCCTCATTTTGTTTTGTAGCTCACAGCAAATCAGGCTACCACCCAAGGAAGCAGAAGGAGGCCTGCTTGTTCGTCCGGAACGTGGCCGCCGAAGGTCGTGGGTTCGAATTTGCCATGTTTTACAACGGGGCGGAGAGACGGATGGTGGTTCTGCTCCAGCCGGGATCGTATTTGGAAGGGATGATCGGGTGAGCTGAGACGGGCACATCCGGTCAGACACTCTAGGAGTCTCTTTCCTGACATTTGAGGGGAAAATGCTGACACACCCTCGTTGTCTTCCTGGCGAGGGAATTCATGTTTCTGAGAAGCTCCATCGTCAGCCTCTCGCTGGTTGGCAGGAAAAACTTGAAAATTAAAAAGGGTGCTTGGTTTTTTCCAGGCCTTTGCCTTAGGACTGTACAACTTAATTTGGAAAACAGGAAGGGGGAAATGAAGAGCTGGTAACTGCTCTGAAATATCCCAAATTTAAATCCAGATCCGTGTTTCTTTTTTCTAACCGTTGTTAGCTCTTCCTGCTGTTCCTCAAAATGATTATTTTATATATAGAGATAGATAGATAGATAGATAGATAGATAGATAGATAGATAGATAGATAGATAGATAGATAGATAGATAGATAGATAGATAGATAGATAGATAGATAGATAGATGTAGAAATAAAGATAGATAGATGTAGAAATAAAGATAGATAGATAGATAGATAGATAGATAGATAGATAGATAGATAGATAGATAGATATAAGTTTTTACTGATTTTTTTTACAATTCAAAAGTACTTATTCAAGGAACGTGTTGAGTTTCTCATTCACTAATACGAATTAAATTCCTTGTTCGTTTCTCCAGCCATTGGTAAAATAAGTCCCAAGTTTGAAAATGTTCTGTCTCTTCTTTTTTCTTCCAACCTCAAAAGTCATTAATAACCTCACGGTTATTCTTACGACCTGTTGCAGATGTACAGGTCGCCTTTGACTTTATTTAGTGACCGTAAGGGGGGGGAAAGCCCTGATCCCCTGCCTTTTATTTTCCAGAGATGTTGGGGGGGTTTCTGTAGAGAGATTTTTCCATTTTTTTTCCTCTGGGCTGAGATCTCTCTTTTATCTCTCTCCTTCCTTGACTGCGACCCTTCCTCCTGTTTTTCTCCCCCTCCCCCGCCCATTACCCTTCCCCTCTTCCGATTCGATCCAGGTTCGTGCACGGCGGGGCCGTGGCGGCCATCCTCGATCACACCTTTGCGGGTTGCGGCATCTACGCCTTCGGCATCGTGGTGACCGCCAGCCTCTCTGTGAACTTTAAGAGGTAAGCCAGGATTTGTGCCCACGAATTGAGCGTGTAAGTAATCCTCGGCTTAACGATCAGGACGGAGTCCAAAGTTTCCTGCGCTAATTAAAAAGACATTTGCCCCATTTTACGGCCTTTCTCACCAGTGTTGTTAAGGGAGTCGCTGCCGTTCTTAAGTTAGCGACAACGCTTGTGACTTTGCCGGTTAGTAGGTCGTGAAAGGGGATCATGTGACCCCAGGACCTTGCGACGGTCATAAATATGAATCGCTGGCCAAGCGTCTGAATTTTGATCACGCGATTATGGGGATGGTGCGTGAAAACTGCTCACTTTTTTCAGCGCCGTTGTAATTTTGAACCATCCACTAAGTGAACCGATGTAAGTTGAGGACGGCCTTACTCCTCGTCTGTATGTCCTCCGTGATCTTGGGCTGACAAAGGCAGAGCAAGCCGGGTGGATGGTTCAGAAGGAGAAGGAAGGGTGGGAGCTGAGAGGTTTAGCCGCCACGATCCATCATCCACTGCCCTGACAGGCGCCTCCTTCCCCTTCCAGCCCCATCCCGCTGGGCTCTGTAGTCCTCGTGGAAACCAAGGTGGAGAAAGTAGAAGAGAAGAAGATTTTCCTGTCTGGGCTTGTGCGGAGCACCGACGCGCAAACCCTCCACGCAGAAGCCACAGGTGAGTTTACCTGTCGAGTCCAATTGGGCCCTCGGCTGTCCCTCTTGGAAAAGTCTCTTAAGAGGCCTTCTCCTCTCCAGCCTCCTTCAGAAGGAAAAGTGAGACACACAGGGCGCAATCCCCGTTTATCTCCTTGACTTTTCCCTTCCTTCTCTCATATTCTGGTGTTCTCCTCCTTTTAGCGCAGGTGGGCTGGGTGGAGGACAGGTGTCTCTGTTTCCTCTGCAGGGCAGGGTGGTCCAACAGGTGTGGTTGAAGCTCTGGAGACACGTGATGGACAACGTGGCCCAAAGGTAAAGGCCTCCATGTCTCCTCCCTCTCTTTGTCTCCATCTTTCCTGGCTGCAGCTCTCTTGATCCACCTGGACGCCAAGGCCTCTTCCCATCCAGTGACGAGCTCCAGCTGATTCTCACAAAGATTCCTGAAATCTCAACTTTTTGGGGGAGGGGGGGGAACCCCAGACTGACGGTGTTATTTGCACCCCCTTGAAAATAAAAGCTCGAACTGGGCTCCGGCTGTCTTCAAGAGATCTTTCAGGGGGATTCGTGGTCTCTTCTTGATTCACCGGAGAAGAGTCTTTGGGGAATGGGGAAAAAAGTTTTTCTTGCCTTCCCAAGTTCCCAATTATATATATATATATATATATATAATTCAGATGGATGAACGCTTCCCTTTGCGAATTTTTTTTTAAAAATAAATGTCATCAATTATTGGGAGAATAAGGTGGCCCCTTGACCCTGTTTTGCTTCTGCTTTTCTTCTCATTTCCTGTTTTCCTGTGATCGAGAGGAATCGAGTCGTCGTTTCTTTTCAACCGGAGTCACCTTAGCAATGGGGAACTCGAGCGTCTTCCCCCTGGAGAGGGTCTGAGTTCAAGAGAGCCTCAGGATCAAGAGGAAGGGGGTTAAAATCGGGCTTGGGGATCGTCTTTGATGTTGGTGAAGCAACATTTTGAGCTGTTTTGCTCATGGCTAAATGGGGAGCTGTCCGTGGTCCTGATGTTGAATAGGGGGGGTGGTCTCGTCCTTATGGAACGAATAACGGTTGGAAGGGACCTCGGAGGTCTTCTAGTCCAACCCCCTGCTCAAGCAGGAGACCCTTGCAGAATAACAAGAGTTGGAAGGGACCTCGGAGGTCTTCTAGTCCAACCCCCTGCTCAAGCAGGAGACCCTTGCAGAATAACAAGAGTTGGAAGGGACCTCGGAGGTCTTCTAGTCCAACCCCCTGCTCAAGCAGGAGACACTATACCATTTCGGACAAATGTCTGTCCAATCTCTTCTTAAAAACCCACAACTTCTGAAGGCAATTTAATTGTTCTCACTGTTCTCTCCTTGATTAGTTTCCATCCGTTGCTTCTTGTCCTGCCTTCAGGGGCTTTGGAGAATAGCTTGACTCCCTCTTCTTTGGGGCAGCCCCTCAAATACTGGAAGAACCCCTGAGATATTGGAAGACTGCTCTCATATTCCCTGGGGGGGACCTTGAGGAATGAAGGGAAGAAATACTGTCAGATAAGAGAGAGGTTGACCCTCAGTTGCACAACGGGTGGAAAAAGACTCGGAAAGGAATTTCTGTAGCTCAACAGTCCATAAGAGACACTTATAGGGAGACGCTTCAACGTACGGCTACAGTTGAGCCCCAAAGACATGTTTGCCCCATTTTATGACCTACCTTGCCACGGGCCATGCAACCGTCATAAATGTGAGCCGGTTCCCAAAAGCACCTTGAGTTTTGATCATGGGTGCTGCAACGATCCTAAGTTTGAAAAAAAAGTCACCGATGGCTTTTTTTTCAGCGCCGTTGTTCAGTTTGAAACGGTCACTAAGGGAACTGTTGTAAGTCGAGGACTGCCTGTATTTATAGCGCATTTACCCACAACACACAACTCGCTGCGTTTCTCTCTCGCCATTTTCCCCTAAATATTATGAAGCCGCTAATGGGTGCGATCCACGTTTTTCGCGTCTGGTTGGTTGGCTCTGAATTTTCACCCCGGGGCATCACGGAAAAAAGTTGTGTGTTCACACCCCCAGCTTCGCAACGGCAATGTTTTTTTTTCTATCGGTTGTTGCAATCAATGATAGATTAATTAAAAAAAAAAAAACCCCACCACGTGCTTCAAAGCAGAGAGTCCAGTCAATCAACGGTCGGGTTGCCAAAACCGGCACCCATCCCGGCAGGGAGGCGTGCCGTGTTTTCCTGGCCTGCAACTGTTTGCAAACCTTTCTCCTGGCTTCAAAGAATGGGCCTTTTGTTCTTGTGTGGTGTGCAAAACCTGATCGGAGAGGGGCAGCCTGCCAACAACAGGAGGAAAAGATTGTGTAGCCCGATGGAGGCGCCAGGAGGGTGTTCAACGCCGTCCAAATACTTCGGCTTTCTTGGGCCAGACCCAGCTTCCCATCGGACGGCGGTCCAGTTGTGAGCCGAGATGCTTTTCCGAAAACAAGCTTTGAACTTCGACCTGTTGTCGCCGTGGTGGGACTCCCCCGACCGACTGTTGTGTTTGTGGCTGAAACACAAACCCCGGTGACATCGAGAGGCGCCGGATGATAAACAGCAAGATGGAAACTTTGGATTGTGCCGCTTGGCGTCTCGGATGGCCACGAAGGCAGGTTGGGGGCGGCCCAGGGGAAGGGTTGAAGGAAGAGAGGAGGAGGAGGAGGATGGCCAGGTAAATGGGGGCCTGGGGGGGTCATTTGGGAACTGGAGGGGCGCACGGTTTCTCGTACAAGCGGACGCGAGGCGCCCCGTTACCCTTGCAAGGAGAAATCTGTATTTTAGTCCTTTTTCTATGGCTTTTGCAAGGCCACCGGATGGGGGGGAAAGGGGCAACTTTTTGTAGTTTCTCTGAACTTCTTGGCGCATTTTTCTTCTCGCTCTGCTTCTGCCCCAAAGCTTCCTCTGATATTTTATATTTGGGCAAACGTCAGGCGTGGAAATAAATAAAATAGGGAGGCTTGAGAGATTTGTAAAGCTTTGGATTCCCCTCCCCCCGTCCTCGTCTTTCGCCCTTCCACCAAAGCATCTCTTTGCCCATCTTGGCTTCTGCTTCAAGGGCAAAGAACCAAACTCTGCGCGTGTTCAGAGGCCCCGCTCTCCTTCTGCCAAATGGGTCAGCAGGTCTGGAGGGGGGAGGGCAAAGAAGAAGAAAAGGGTGACAGGGAAGCGGAGGGACGTGGGCGCGTCTCACATGCTTGCTAGTTGTGTATCTGGGTTTGTCGCGTCTGGTCTTCCACGCCTCCTGACATTTCTGAATTTCTTCCCCGGGATATAATCCCCGACAACAGCTTAAGAGGGTGTTTAAATAACACCTGGGCATGAGGCCATATTCCGTTGTGCAAATCACCTGTTGGGTCTCTTTCCAAAGCGGAAGGACGCCCTTTCAAAGAAAGAAGGGGAAAAAGCTTGACCCGTTGTTGGTTTTTTCTTCCTTCCTCTCTCTCTCTCTCCCTTCTGCGAAACATAGGACGTTTTGTCTCCCTTGCAAAATTCCAGGAACCGTGAAAAGGGAGGGAGAGGCGTCTGCTTCTTTAGCGAGTTCTCCGGGTTTTAATTTATTTGGTTCCTCCTGCTGCCAAAAACTACACCCGCAGAGAGGGCGGGTGCTCACCTTCGGAGAATTAATCCTTTTTTGTTTTTTTCCTATTATTCAGCTGCAGAGGCTGCTCAGGAGAAATTGGATTTCTTTTTTTTGTTGTTTTTTTTAAGTTTTTGAATTGGAGTGTTGTTGTTTCCAAACAAGTCACTAGTCCTCATGAGGTCCGAAAGCATCAGAGATGCTTTTCTCGGGCCTTGAAGCTGGTCGCAGGAAGCTGAGTTGATTCTGACTCCTGTTTGCAGGTGGATCAATGGGTTCTGACTGGTTCTAACTGGGTTTTTCCTTCGATTTCCTCCCAGATTGACGTGACGGAATTCGTCCCGATGGCTCTCGCTTCTCTCTCGAAGGGACCATGTGACTTTTCTTCCCCCGGCCTGATCTGAGATGTTTTCCAAGCGAAAGACCCCCAACGTCCAACGCGCTTGCCCCAACGTGCTGACCCCCGACACAATCCCCTCGTTTTTCATCCCACCCAACCTCGCCACCTTACAAGGACGGCGTGCGGCTGGGAAGCCCAGGGCAAGCGAGGCACCAGCCCCGCCGGTCAAAAACGAGGGCGCCGCGCTGCAGGAGGGACACCGGCCCGGTGTGCGACTCGGAGGCGCTCCCACCACCATCCAGCTCCCCAACCCGATGAACTTTGGGTGGCTGCCCGAAAGCCCCAACACCTGGCGGCGGGAATCGCTGTTCCACAGCAGACCCCCACGTCGCCGAGGGCAGGGGGTCTGGCTCTCCTCCCCACGGACAAGGCCCCTTCCGCAGCCCACTCCAGGCCCGGACAGCGACACCGCCTCTTCCACGGAAAACTCCCCTTACAATTCCCCCTTGCCCACCCGTCCCCTCGGCGGGCTGCTGCCTTGCCACGGCTACGGGCACCGCCGGCGCCTGGCCTGCCGTTCCCCCCACGCTGGCACATCCCTGCGCCCCAGCTCCTTCTCCACGGAGGACACCAGCTCCGCGGACACCAGCCCTTGCTGCCTTCGCCGTGAGGCCGATCCTGCCTGGATCTCGCCGGGCGCCTGGTCCCTGGCACCGCTGTTCCCCCTGGACCTGATGCGTTGCCACCAGCGCCTGATCAAGGAGGTGACGCTGACGGTCAGCCAAGGCGGGCAGCTGCGCCTCTCCAGCGAGTATCTTGCGCCGCAAGCCAGCCTCCGCGTGCGCCTGGTGAGCGCCGAAGGCTTCTACCCGCCCCAGGGCAGCCCCCGCCACATGCACTGCTGCGTGGCCCTGCAGCTGCGCCCCGGCCTGGGCCAAAGGCAGCGCAGCGCCGTCATCAAGAGGACCCGCAACCCCATCTTCAACGAAGACTTCTACTTTGAGGACATCAGCCCTGAGGATCTTCCCCGGCGCAGCTTGAGGATCAAAGTGCTGAACAAGGAATGCAGCCTACGGCGGGACATCGTGCTAGGTGAATGCGACGTCCCGCTGGATTCTCTTCTGCCCTGAGCGGGGTTCCCTGGCAGAGAAGGGCCGGGGGTGGTATGGATGTCCTTGCGGATGGACGGAGGGTCAACGGCTGGTGTGATTTGCTTAACGGTGTGATTCGCTTAATGACTGTGGCAAAGAAAGTCCTAAAACCGGGCCCAACAATTGCATCCGTGACGTTTGTAAGTCCTAAATTGAGCTGTGTTCTTGATCCAGGCACCAGCCACCAGGGGGAGCTCTGCTGCCCTTGGTATCGCTGCCACCTTGAGGCAGAAGGTGGTACAGCAGGAGCTGGTTGATGATACAAAAACGAGACTCCATCCAGCTTTCCTTCAAGCCATTTTTGCTTGCAATTATCTGCACCCCATCTTTCTTAAGGGTGGGGCAGCCCCCACATTTGAGGACAACCCCAGAATTGGGGTGTTGCAGCCAAAGGAACGAAGTTTCACCCCCAGCCTTGCAGGAGGTTGAACTGGCATTAAACCAAGGGTTGGACTAGATGGCCTCAGCATATCCCAAGCCGGTGATTCTCTTAAACTGTTGCTCTTCTCGGAGAGAGAATCTGGCTGGAAAGCCGAGCGAGCCGGTTCCTTTTCCGAAATGCACACCTGTGGTTGAAATCCCTTTGTCTAATTTCACACAAAGTTGTTTTAGGTGGACATTATGTTTAAGTAACAAAATTGCCATTAAAAATATGAAAGTATAAACTGGGGGTTTTTTTACATTTCATTGGCTTTGTTGCTTAACTTGGATACTTAGTGAGTTTTTGTTTTGTTTTGTTTTGTTTTTAAAAAACCATCTTTTTATACAAAGATCCCACTCCTGCCTTTTCGACGTGTCCAAATTCTGCCACCAGAGGGCAGCATTTCTTTTTACAGTTGCACAAACCACCTGCAGCCACCAGAGGGAGCTCTTTACTGCTTAAATATTTTTTTTTCTTCTCTCTATTACAGATTCCCAAGTCAAAGTCGCAAAAGAACGCACTAAAAATAATTGAATAGGGAATTAACGAATAAAAATTAACGGAAGCAGCTCCTTGAGGCTGCGGCGATCTCTCCCGGCCATTAAGAAAATGGGGGGAAAAATCTGAATGCCCCCAACTCTCTTTTGCACCCCTTTTAAAGGGCATTTTCCCTGCCTTTTCCCGTTGCATTGCTCAACTCTGCCACAAGAGGGCATCTCTTGGCCCCAGGGAAGCTTTGCAAAATTAAGAAATTAAAAAAAGGGATGTGATTGTAAGCGTCCTACTCTCTTTTTAATAATTTTCGTATTTTTTTCTTTTAGATTCCTAGTTTTATTATTAGAGGATGCTTGCCATTCCTTGGTCCAGCCACACGAGGGCGCACTAGGACCAGCATTCTACTTTTTCCAACTTTCCTGGAAGGGGGGGAAAAATCTGTTTTTTCTACTTTTATCCTTGGCAAAATGTGTTTAGGCCCTCGCTTCCGTTTCTGTTTCGGTTTGCTAACTTTTAACTAGGAAAAGTCTCACTTAGGACAGCCACTTTGCTCCTCTCTCAGAATTGGAACTTTTGGATTTATTCTGAGCCACGCTGAGGGCTAGTATCATGGTGGTCTTTTGTTTACAAGCTTATTGCAGGTGCAATTGTTCAGTGGCAATAAGAAAGGACTGAGCCCAGGAAAAATGGGTGTATATATTTGACCCTGAGATTTATAAACGGGGATAATACAGGTCCAGAACTGAAAAATGAATTAGCCGTCTTCTAGGTAACGATCATAATTTATTAAATTTATAGGCACCTACATCTTTGCCTGCTTTAAAAATTGCAGAACACACCCAGCACCAAAAAAAAAAATGCATCTCGCAAATTTGATTATTATTTTTCTCATTTTGACTGCAGAAGACTTTTATTTAGCAGGGTGTCACTCCTCCAGATGCTTCATCAAGAGCTCATTAAAGGCCTCAATGAAATTAATAACAAGAATTATACCTTTTAGGTGGCCTTCATGAGGCCAGCAAACGTCTTCCAAAGTTTTAAAAACTTTGGCACTTTTTTTGTTTTAAACCCTCCTTCAACAGAATCATTGAAAATTGGGGCAGCCTGTTAAGTTAAAAATAGCAGGAAGGGGAGTCCAGTATGTTTGCAACCTGGGAGTTATTTCTAAAAATAATAAAAGGGATTAAAAATATAAACAACGGAGTTATTATTCGACACCAAACGAGTTCCGTTTGTGTTGCCATCCTGAAGTTTCATTTTTGAGTTTCTCCTTCGGATCGGGCTTCAGAGCGGCGTTCCCGCAGGCCGGGATATCCGCCTTCATCGGGGATTGGGTCTGCCAGCTGCAGGCACGTGGCGCTTTGCAAACCTCCCTGCGAGGTAGGACAGGAAGGGAAAGACAGACGGGGCAAGAGGAAGAGGGAGGGAATAAGGAGATTCAAAGTCTCTAAATGCACCCCAAAGCAGGAGAAGAGGACAGAGGCGTCTCTGCCCCTTCACTCGGCCCTTAGAGGTTCCGAGGTAGACTGCTCTTGAACAGGGAGGCTCTACATGAGGATAGGAAAGCAGGAGAAAGCTCTCATCGCTTTCCACCCTTTCCTTGCTTCTAAAGTTCTCCTTTTCTGTTAAAATTCTCCTCTCTCTTGTTCAGCTCTTCCCCCCCCCCGGTCCGTCCGCAGGGTGGATTTCCGCCTGCGAAGGGCGCTCGCCGCGGTTCGCCTGTCTTGGCGCGGAATTTCTCGTCTTCCCAGGCCTTGAGGGCCGGCTCCTTGCAATGTTCCTGGCACCCAGACTTAAAAATACACCCGGCCCCGGGATCAAAAGCAGGTGAGTCACGCTGAAGTTATATAAGCAGCTGGCACAGCCTGCCACCCCACCCCACCCCCAAATTGGGCAGGACCCAGCCCGCCTTTGCGGGGTGCAGGGGGAGGGCCTCTCCAGCAGGGGGCAGCACACAGCAGACAGGCCCCAACATCCCCCCCCCCGGAGAATCCGGTTACAAAACAAACCATGATCGATTCTTCACGGCAAGCTGGTGGGCACAAACCGACTTTTATTTAATGAAGGTCACATTTCCGAGAAACCCAGAAACTGCCCGTATATAATTTAATTTTATACGTAATTTTATTCATCACACGTGCCAGATGTTTTTAAAATAATTCGCCGCTCTGTTGTTTTTTTATAGTTTGATAAGACATTTGATAGGCTGTATTGGAGAATTTTTTTTAATCCACGAACGCAGCATCCCCCAGGCCAGGGTCACGTGATCAGAATTGAGACGCTCGGCCGCTGACTCGTATTTATGACGGTCGCAGTGACCCTGTCATTTGTCCTTTCTTTTAGATCCCAGCAATGTTCTCCAGAGAGATCCGGATGGCTGAGTCTGGCTAGGAATCTAGAGAACTGTAAAAGAGGTCTAGTCAGTTTCACTGTTTTTTTTGTGTGTGTGTATGTGGTTTTTTTTTTGGCCTGTCCTGGCTTTTGACTCAATTGGTTGGGGAAATGGAAGAACTGGTTCTGTATGCAAATCCTTCCCTGGATGGAAAGACAGGATTACACCCTGCTCAGAGGAAGCAATTTTGTGGCGGCCTCGGCGGCTTCTCCTCTTTGCCCCCTTTCCACCGCCGAGAACTCAGCTTTGAAATTTCCAGTTTTCCAGGCAGGAACCGGCTGGCTGGGAATCCTGGGAGCTGAAACCCGATGTGGACGTGGGTGCTGGAACAAGGGCGGGTGGCGAACGAGGGCACGGTAATACGCCTGCTGCACCTGTGGAATTGCTGCCTTCTAGCAAGCGGAGATTAGAAGCCCAGAAGCCCCTGCCGGGCGGGGAGGATGCCCAGGTTGGCATTTGGGAAGGCGGGTTTGGCAGCTGGCACAGGTGAGGTGCCCCCACACCACCACCACCCCCTCAAGCCTGTCTCGCTGCCTGAACCGCCCGGTGTGGCAGCCCCGGGTGAGGACCCATGTGCCCCAGCAGCCGAGCACGTAAACAGTAATTATCCCTGGGGACGGGCGAGGGTGTGCCCAGCCAAAGGGGTGGGGGAGGGAAGGCCGCCGGGGGTGTCACCCCTCCTTCGGGGCAGGGTTGACTGGCGCCCTTTGGAAGGGCTGGGAAGCAGCGCCCATCATCCCCGGCCTTTCCTTCGGAGGATTAGGGTGGCATGTCTGGGGTTTTTTTTTCTTCCCCAGAGTCCGGTAGACTGCCCCTGCCGCAGGGAGCTCGCCAAGGAGGGCGCTGTGGATGCAACACTTTCTCCCTGTTTACACACACAGTGTGTCACACCTTCTTTCAAGTTGGGTGTGCGAGGGATCCGAGAGGCGTTTCTTTGCAGGTCCTTTATCTCTGCCCCCTTTATTACACACACACACACACACACACACACACAAAAGCCTTCTCTCCCGTCCGGCCTGCAAGGAACACGGGTGTTTTTGCACTCTCCCCATTTTACTTTACACGCGCACACAAACCGACACACAAATTCACTCCTTCTCTCCGGCTGGGCGTGCAAGGGACCCGAGCGGAGATTTGTTTGTTTATTTATTTGCACACTCTTTCCCCTTTCTCTTGCACACCCAGCCACCGCTTCTCTCGGGCTCCGGCGTGCAAAGGATCCCGGGGCAGGGGTGTATTTTTTTTTTTTTTTTTGCACGCCCGCTCTTTCTCTCTCTTTTGCACCCACAACTCAACACCAAGTCACGCCTCCTCTTCCGCGTGCAAGGGAAGCCCGGGGAGATTTTTTTTATTTTGATTTTTTGCACGCGGGATCGCACGTGTGGCGGGGGGGCGGGCTGGAGAAGGGAGGGGGGGCCCGCCTGGGCCCGATCCGGCGGCGCCGAGTTGTGCAACGCGCAGGGCGGCTGTGCAGCCTCGGCTAATCGAGCGCTGTTGCAGGGAGCCCGGGCGGGGGGGGGCTGGGGGGCTGCCCCGGTGGCACGGCTGCCTGTCGGGCAGGGAGGGCGGGCTGCCCCCCGACCCCCGGGACCCCCGGGACCCTCCGCCTTTCCCGGGGTCCCATTATGGGCGCTATTATTATTATTAGCAATATTGGGCGGCGTCGGCAGCCCCTCCGGTGGGGACCGGCCGGGCAGGAGTCCG